TCGTTTGACTGGTTGGTCGTTTGACTGGTTGGTCGTTTGACTGGTTGGTCGTTTGACTGGTTGGTCGTTTGACTGGTTGGTCGTTTGACTGGTTGTTCGGTTGGCTGGTTGGTCATTTGACTAGTACAGCATAGCAAAAAACCCGCTAAAGTATCTCACCTATGTTATTGCCTTTTGACGTCATACTTTTCGAAAACATATCAATAATAAAGAGATTTTCATAATTTGTTTTTATAGAAGCCAGATCAGCTCCAAGGGACTGACAGTGGGCTCGTGCATCGATCCAGGTTTTGTTTTCATGGATTATCTTCACAGCAGCATCATTAATGCGATACCATCCGCCACCCAAATCTGAATGCACAAAGACAACGTCACACGTCACCAAAATACTAGGCATGCGCAAGCATAGTAGACCGCTGGTCATTTTATATAGGCGCATATGATTATAGGAGTGCATTTTAAGACAAAATCAAAATGTTCCGCCATCTTTGTGGCCAAATGCAGCTCTTCAAAGGGGACGAGCCTATACATACAACTACTATGCTTTCCCATCCGTAAAACTGTCAGTCAAGTTATACTCGGATATTAATATTTATGTATCATTTCTTATAGATATTCTTTCAAGAGTTCTTTTGCTATTGATAAAAATTCAAACGTCACGCGCTTATTACCTTGAATAATGCATTAGAATGAATACGAATACTAAGGTACATTCCTGGAGCACTACCTCTATGAGGATTTGGACTAATTGTCGAGTAGTGTTTAATAAACCCCGACATCATGTTTTTTTCAGGTATAACTACACGAGGCGTGGCCGAGTTTATTGAACAGCTGAAAAAAATCAGGTATAATTCACAAACCTTTGGTCAAATTACAGCGAACATATACGGTTGCAAACATGAATATTTATAGATGGATAAAGGTTTGTACATCAATGTCATGCGCTCTGAGATTTGTACGCATACGTCACTGCTATTGCAAAGCGAGTTAAAAAGAGGCTTCCAAAAATTCAAGACATGCAGCATGCCAGTCAAGGAAGGAACACTAGTCGACACGATTTTGGAGATCGTCGATTATAGGACGTAAGACTGACCTTGATTACGCTCTAAGTCTTCGTTTTAGCGTGGGTGCTACTTTATCTCTAATAAAGTCGTACTCATTAGTATTCATGAATATTAATGAAGAGGACCTTATCGGATATAAAGCCACATACACGTGACATGTATAGTTGATCCAATTAAATCCAAGGCTTATGAATAAGACTGATGTCACTTACCTTCCTTGATAATTGTGCATCCATTTAGGTCACATTCTTTCGTAACCTAACAAAATTAGCGTTAATAATAAAAACAATAATAATAATAATGCGAAAACGCACTCTCGTTTTCCATGCCTGGACACTGAAAACAGTTAATTGAACTCACCCTCATCTGGTGGTACTGGGATCCCTGTGTTGGTACCAGGCTCCCTGGACTCGCTTTCTTGCTGGAGTTGTTCAGATCACATTCAAACATTCCAAAACTGTTGACACGAGCATTGATGGAGAAGCAATTCATGATCCATACACATTTATCCCAGCACAGCTCGACAAATTGCGTGGTCATGGTTGTTATCACGTGGTCTTTGAATTCTACATCTTGTTCTTTGACAAAGCTGTACTTTTCACATGCGTGAACAATGCAAATGTGCATCAGTAATAATATGACTCGCTGCATGACTCGCTTTTGATGCTGTAAAAGAAGAATTTTGTATTTAAAAAAATATAATAATAATAAAGAAGCTAAAGAAGCTCAAGAAAGACGAACACTACAAGTTCTTAGGAATTCTAGAGTCAATTAAGCAGGAAGAAGATTAAACTTTAAAGAATGCCTCAAAGGTCTTTCTACAGAGAATGTCAATGATCTGGTCAAGTGCGCTTTCAGATTACAACCGAGTTATAGCAACAAACCAGTTTGTTCTGCCTGTATTGACTCATCAGATGTGGATACAACATTGGTCGATCACGGAACTACGGAAAGTAGACAGAGAGGCTCTCAAGATCATTGTTAACAACGGTGGAAAGCATCCAAAGAGCTCGCGAATGCCTTATTATATCTACCCAGAGAAGAAGGCGGAAGAGGTTTACGTTCTGTTGAGATTGAATACAAGACTATCAAGATCAAGGCGACAGTAAATTTGTACACGAACAATGACCCGACGATGGCTGTAGTTAGAAACTTTGAAGAGCAAGTTGTAAAGAAAGGAAGATTATCTCTTGTAAAAGATGCTCAAGGAGCTGCTGAAGAATATGGCTTCACTCTAAACTTAGAGCACCCGGACCCAAGTGCACCTACAACAGAAGAAATTCATAATTATCCCTTACACGAAGATAGGTAAACATCTTAAGAAACTGAAAGTTGGACAGCTGAAAAGCGAGGTCAAAGAGGAAAAGTCGCAAGGAAAGCTGAATGCTGAAAGATGGGAAGATGAAAGTTTAAGCAATAAAGATTGCTTCTTATGGATGGGAAACTGGACATCATGTCCAACCCACGTTGTAGCTGGCATGTGCGAGTTGTATGAGCAACTACAAATTATACTACAGCAAAGTGTACATTTCAGTTTGATGGAAATTGTAAATAGCTCATGACTATATAGGCTACGCTTGTGCGCCCTATACGATTTTTATAGATTTGCATACGTAAGTTTCAATAAACTGCACATGATAATAATCTACCATCTATCATTCATTATTTTATAGATATGGATTTGAAGGATCTCAATATTCTATTCCATGGTACAAACAACGACGAAGCAAAGAACTTATGGTATATACCATGGCAGCTGGAGAAATGTCTAAAAGATGGCGCAAACCGACAAGACATCAGTTTCTTACACAAGAAGAATAAAGAGTGTACTATCGTGGAAGGACCATATGCACCCCAGGAACAATCGCGACGAGAACAAAGTATAACAATAGAAAGACAAATACACAGATCTAAAGTTTCATTTTCTCGCGGTATATTATAAAGAGCTTGAAGAAGAACTGTCTAAGATATTGGATAAGAAAGTAATAAAGTCAACAACAGAACGTTCATGAAAACGGATTATTTCCTAGAACTGCGAAATAGTAAAAARATTTTCCACTTGAACAATAGATATATACAAGGAATCGATGTATCTAGATGTATGTATATATATATATAGTCAACATATAGGGTTGAGTTGCTGCTAGTTGGAAGATGACCCAGACTCTGGCTCATTAATAGCTAGAGAAATAAGAGAAAGCAACAGAGATGCCTGCAAAAGAGGCTCGTCCATCTACACACAGACTGGCCGCCGTCTTGATGATCGCATTTGCATTCGCATATTAATCATCTTTATGATATTTGCAATAACGATCCCACCAAACCGGTTTCCCGCCATTTHAATCTAGCTAACCATTCTCTTTCTGACTTCATTGTTTTCGGTCTTTCTTTGCTTAACAGCAACAATGATTGTCGCAAGACCAAAGAAATGCGGCTTATTCACCTACTGGGCACTCTTAGTCCCAACGGGATTAATGAACGCTTTGCTTTCAACTAACCTTTTCTTTTGTCTTTTGATTGTTTGTTTTTGTTATAAAGTCTTACAAAGAAGCAAAACATATTGCAAGAGCGAGGGCAATCATTTTATTTCGGGTCAAGAGTAAGTTTTTTGAAAACAAGACAAACTGTACTTATTGGGGCCTTGAAATCGCAACCCTAACCGTAACGAAAAGTTTGGGAAGTCTCTAGACTCATGTCTTTATTGTTCTAAAAACTAGTTTCCAAACTACCGCTGTTTTTAACCCTGCATGAATTACCCCTTGATCAATGCAGAAATAAATTAGATTAGAAAACAATTTCTTTTGGAATACCGACTCAATCAAAATTAATCAAAAGCAGGTGAAATCGTTTGTTTTTTATCTCTGAGGATGAAAATTCCACCCACTCCCCGTTTTTTTCCTTTTCTGTTAGCAGTTCTATTTCTCAAACAAGAAATTAGACTGAATTTAACTGATAAACTCGAGGGTGGACATGACGGTTCTCTCAACCCGTTTTGATGAAACTGTCTGTTTACTTTATTTAGGTCTCTGACACTCGTTAATAAAACAGATCTTCAAATAGATAAAAACTGTTTCTTACATCTAAGTTCTTACCGTCAAAGTACCTGGTATGGAGAATTTCTAATATACTATTCTAAATTAAATGTGATCAGCAGCAGCAGCAGCAGCAGCAGCAGCACATTATAATATTCTCAATGCTATATGTTCGCTCTAGCAAACTATAGCCCACAAATAAACTATGAACCAAATGAAAAAATATTACATAATTAATTACAAACCCTTGACTTTTAATGTTGAAAAAGTGCGGGAGATCTGTTCTTATTGATTCTCTTTTTTTTTTTAGAAATAAAGTTAAAAAAAAAAAAAAAAAAAAAAAGATAGATTAAAGGTGGTTCCTCAATAAAAAAAAACCTTGGCGATGGAAAAGAGGTCTAAAACTAATTATTAAAGTTTTTCAAACAGGATCTTCTCTTCGGTAAAAGAAATCTTCGTATACGTCAGATTTCCTAGAAATTTCTTCGTATGTGTCTAATTTTCTTCCTGCAAACACAACACACTTTTCGCCACCGATTTTACCGTCTCTTAAACATCGAACTCCAGGAAAATCTTGACTGCAAACACTTTTTGCTCTTTCCTTGTAGATTTATCTTCGGAAGGAATTTTTCGAGTGAGGTTGCAACATGAGTGAGTGTTACAAAACCTTAGAATGAAACTAAAAGAAAGCCTGCAGACTTCTTTTTCACATTGTACGTCAATGTTTGCAGATACTGCGACAATGAGTAGGCTTTTCAGAAGTCATAATTTTGGGAGATAAGAGCAAAATAGTTTGCTCTGGTTTTACTGCTTACGAAAACGGCCGAGATCAGCCCCTGGATAAGTATTAACTTTATGACGTTATTCCGGAAAAAATTTTTGCAGTTGTTAGCATTGTTAAAACTAGAACAGTTGGTTTACAAGTTCAGCAAACTTGAATTAGATTAAATTAAATTTGCAACGTTTTTCGAGGTTGCCGGGGGTGGAATTTTGGGAACAGAGGCCAAAAGGAGCATAGCCGTTTCCATGCAACGATGCATTTGATGACCTGAAACCACATCTGGGCTGATCTAAGGCAGGGCACAGCAAACTAACTCATTGAACCCTGAAACAACATCTGAACAGATCTAAGTCAGGCACGACTAACTCACAGATCAAACCCTGAAACAACCTCTGGGCTGATCTAAGTCAGGGCATGGCTAACCCACAGATCAAATTGAATTTGAGGCTAGGCTGTATACTAAAACTAAGAAGTCGCAACCACACAAAACTAAATATCGAATGTATAAGAATTATGTTCGAGAAGTTGTCTAGAATGTACCGAAGTTTGATCATTATTAGTGCACTGGAAGATTAAGTAAAGAGTTACTAATTTTCTTTCAATCAAAACTTACTTACAATATTTTTGACGTCCAAAACAAATAGACTCTATAGGCCGTTACTAGATTTACCTAGAAGTAAGTTTCATCTAGACCAGTACTACATTAAATAAAAACTACAAATATTTACAGTTCGAATTCAATTGAATAAAAAAAAAAAAATAAATAAAATAAAATAATAATAATAATAATAAAAAGAAAAATAAAGGATCAATTCAAATTGTCAAACATTTTTACCTTTCAGTTACGGGCTGCATAAACTTGAGATTCTTTAACCAAATGACGATAGTTGTTGTAACAGTACTGATTACCTTATGTACTGATTAAGGACACTTTCTGAAGGATGTTGTGTAAAAACATGGATAGCTTTGAGATAACCAAAACCTCATCAATTTTTGATATCGGTAATGAGAGTTTGAGAGATTGACATCTGGATCATATTCATCCTCGATCATTCATTTCGGTTATTTTGCCAACTCTGCTTGACTGCGAATAACAAAGATTAATGTTTATGTAGAAAAAAAAAGTAGAAATTCATTAAAATCTCTTGCGTATTTTGTTCTTTCTAGATTCTCAGCGGACAATGACCCAACGGTAAAAACTTGATTAAGATAAAAATAGAAATCTAGTAATATGGATTTCGATAAGACTTTCGCTTTTCTTTATCTTAGTATTTTTTTCAAAACATCCCTTTCGCTGCGCCTTATCTTATTTATATGGTTTACTATTATCAAGTGTGTTAACAACGTAGCTGGCGAAGATCAAGTTTGTTGATATTTGTCAGCAAAAGTCCTTGGCTACCGTTATCAAGTGTGTTTAAAAACATTTCATAGTAACCCAGTATGTGGGGCAAACACCATAGCGAAGATTATGAATGAAGGATGCATAGAAGTTTGAAAAGTTCACGTCTAATTGTTAAAATCTAATTTAGTTGGACTGTTATATCACAGCTTGGTTTGACAACCACATGTAGGAGAAACGGAACTTTTGAAGTTTTAAAATACAGTGGGTCCCTTTGGGGTGTTCCTAAACCGCGAAAAAACGAAATAGCGGAATGAACATACATATAGCCTATATGTATGTTCATTCCGCTATTTCGCTTTTTCGCGGTTTAGGAACACCCCAAAGAGACCCTCTGTCTATTCGGAATAAACAGTATAAAAAAGGAATACATTTCGTATCGATTTCAGGCAAAATTATTATTTCATGTAGATATGTTTACGGTGTATTTTCTTTTTCTTAATGTACAACATCAATATGTTAACATGTAATCGAATGATTGTTATCTGTCAAATAACACGAATTAACAAGACACTATTTCTTGTTGGGTTTGAACACGCTCTAGGGCAAAATTGCCTAGGGCTTCTGTCTATGACCTACGTCAAGTGGACATAGTAAGAGAAAAAACTGTAAAAGTAGTACGTGGTTGCAACAGAAGCCCATTCCAAGGCAATTTTGCCTTAGACTTCTTCTTCTTCTTCTTCTTCTTCTTCTTCTTCTTCTTCTTTCTTTCTTTGCTTTTTTGTTATTTGTTTTTTTCTGCCTCTGACCTACGTCAAGTGGACATAGTAAAAGAATAAACTGTAAAAGTACTTACGTGGTTGCAACAGACTAATATAAACACTAGCCAGTCTTTTTTATCAGTTGCGGCCTCATATTTGATACAATAACAAGGTCATTTGGTGGTCGTGGGCTTTGCCCGCGCACTTTCGCTGTGAATTTCCACAGCCGTAGCATGTGGATACTCTTGCAATCACAAGTTTTCAACAAGCAAACCTCGAAAGAGCCAGAGGAGGGATTGGGTCTATATCGTTCTTTTCGTATTTGACCTTCAGATACAAGCATGCATCTAATTAACGTACTTCCCATGTGCCATTTCGGTCTCAGCTTTTATGTTTTATGTTTCTCGACCCCGACAACGATTCTTCAATTGAGTGTATACATAAGAGGGGCATAATATACCTTAGGGGAATTATATAGGAAAAAAAGGCGCGCGCGAAAAAAAATGGTCTAGTCCACTCTTTATCGATGTCTTTAATCTTTCGTATTACGGATGTCATTATCTTGACCTCGAATTTTTAAAAAAAATTATTAAGTTTTTCCCATTTTATTTTCACCGTTCACTTTAAACTAAATTGGGCTCCCTGTGAAACAGCGTGACAAACTCTGTTTTCGGCGCGTTTGCATGTCAAGCTAGACAGGCTACTTCCCTGCCATGTAAGCAAAAAACACAGAGGAGAAAAACTCGACATTTATAAAGTTTTATAGTTCCAGGAAGACTATTGGTTTTGAAGCAAAGTTATTATTGAATTTTTACTTTACAGCAGAAAGGAATTTCTGAAATATTTGGTACGTAATAAGATGATTTTTTAGATTGAAAAATTCCAAAGTAAAAGACTTTCATGATGAAGAGACCCATTTCCGAGACCCATTCACAGAAAACATTTAGCCAGACGCCTATACTCTTTCTAGTGTTCACATTTTCGCTTTTTAGATTTCTTCGTCTAACAATGCAAAACATGAAGCCATTTTGGATTGCAAAGAAGAAAAGCTTACAGTTTGCAAGCGTTGCTTGGCAACTGAACTACCAATCATAATATAGTAATTAGGCCACGTGAATTACGGAAAAAAGGGCTCCTTCATTAAACAATCACCATCGAGTAATTTTGCCCTGTTTGTGATAAATCAAGGAAATGCTAGTTCACATATCAATTTGGACTACTTTATAGGTTCAAGTTTTCTGTTGCTTAGGATTAACCCCTATTTTGCGTAGAATATTCATGCGCCACAGTGAATTCGAAAATAATCTAATATATTTAGCTGATAAATAATCTCTCATCTACGCTTGGGTGCAACCGTGTATGTTTTACCAGGGTGCCAATGGGGTTAGTAGTTAACTGACAATTGGCCAAAAAATAGTAGTTAACTGACAAATAACCTAAACTTCGTTGTTAAAAGTTAACTGATATTTCATTAGTTTGGTTAATATTATGGAGAGCGCATGATTATTACAGTTACCTGACATTCGGCCTAAAAATGAGTAGTTAACTAACAATTGCATGGGTATACCCCCATTGACACCCTCTTTTGCGATCTATAGAATTCCCACCAATAAAAGCTTAGCATTATTGGGTAATTAGCATATAAACTTCTTGCTTCTCCTTCTCCCTCACACCTATTTGCTGCAAGCCTTTTAATAGACTTCTCTGATGATACGGCCATCTTGCCAGGGGGCAAGACAAAACAAAGATGACGGATAACATATAAAGTTTCGTGTGTTTGTCTTTGTGTTATGGGCAAAGGTGATCGATATGTGTTGTCTTAGTTCAACTTTTGTTGTATTCTCTTGTGTTGAAATGTTAATATGAATCGACATCATTACTGTATCCAAGCTTTATTTCCCCCGGGACGACGATAAAACCTTGCTATCTAAGATGGCCACCGTATCATCCAAGCAAGTAGTCCATTGTGTTGTTCTTTCTATGTTTCTGTGATCCAGTCAAGTCCGTACACGACATGCACGTTTTCTGGTACATCCGTTCATTAAATTGATAATACTTTGTGTTGAAAAGAATGAAAATCCCAAAAATTAATGTTAAGAAGTTGTGAAGGTCACAGTAAAATTCAAATGGCTCAATGAAATTTCGATGGCATAATAGCCATTCTTTGGTATGCAGTGAACTTAGGGGAATGGTTTCCTACAAACATAAGAACTCAAATCTTTACAGATTTTGATCATCCACTTGCCGTCCCTTGCTACTGCGGCACACCTTGGCCAATAAGAGATAGGACTATCTTCAAACTGAACTGGTGGTACCATGGTTTTGGTGTTGGTCCCATCACTCCACTTGAAGGTGCTGGTATCATTCATGGCATTGAGACCAATCCACAAACCTT